TCAGTTTTATGGGCTGAGACTTTGCATGCATAAAGCTACTATGACGTAAGCATCCCCTAAGAAAGGATTTTGATAAATTCCACCCCTAAGGATACGTTTTTTTTCAGGTATTTTACACGATATAATTAATAAATATTCGTTAGAAATGCTACTCAACGTAACCACGCGGACGAAGTCGCGGGCAAAAACTAGTATAATATAATATAAATGTAATCTGTAACTTGAATGATCCAAGTTTTTATAGAGAAACCCAAAAAGGGTTTCTTTTCTTTATCCTTGATACAATAAATAAATCCATTCTCAAGCTAGTCAGCCTTTCATTAATTGACTCAAGCACCGAACCCTTCACAGGCATACTGCTGGATACTACTCTTTCTAGGGATTACACTAGATTTGTAACTTAAGTGGGGCCCATATATTGATAAATTATCGAATAGACTTAGCTCTGCAGCATACGCTGTAATGAAGATACGTAGGGTAACTGATATACTCCCATAATTGTATACTTCGGCTACTTTCATAGTGTAACGTCGTCGTACGGATTTTTTTTATAGTGAAATGCTGCCGACATATAAACGATTTTTGAGCTTCAAAAGAGAGCTATCAGATCAATTTATAATCTTAGGTTTAGGAATTCTTTACGACAACATTTTTAAGGAATAGACGTAATGCCTGTTTCTCCTCAGTTCATATATGAACTTAATGTACGTTCGTAAAAAAATATTTTGTGTACATTAATTTGATGTACACAATTTTACTAATAGAAATAAAAATAAATTAATTGTGCCTATCACAGGACTGCAAAAAGATAATAATAAATCATTCTACAATAAGGTATCAAGCATAATATAACAATTACATATCATTCAGTTTAAATAAGCTATTAAAATACTTTTTAAAAAAGCTTATTATATGGTATCTGATTATATAACAGATAAGAATGCTTGGACTTAAGATATTGCAGCGATTAGATAGGTGATTTCTTCTAAACTCATTATATCTCAAAATTAACGTATTATCTATTATGTTATCATTGTAACATAATTGTTATTTATCTTCATTATGTTAATATTGTAAAGTGACTCATATATTTATAAAGTATTGAACTGGTGTGTTTCTTGCTCGATCTTCTTATCAGCTAAAAAATGTCCTGAACGTGCGGTAGGGAAAATAATGTTGGACTATTCAAAAGTACCTATATTTTAACTTTGACTTTGAAAAAGGTTACAATTTGTAATAGATTTATAAAAAAACAGATTAAGCGAATTGGAGGCCGGTAAAACCTGTGCAAATAAAACTTGACGCTTTTAATGTAACAATTATGAGTTCAGTGCCTACTTTTAGAAATTATTTTAAGTGGAAAAATATCACCTATATTCTTAATGGAGTATCAGGTATGATAGACGAACGGAGAGATATACAATAGTTTCTATTAGTCCTCTAATAGTTAGAGGTATGACATTGTTGTCAGTACTGTAACACAAAGTATCAATACTAAATTTAGGGTTTAGTTTTATCACACGGTGAATAATAGAACTAAGAAAACCTAAGTTATTATATTATAGTATAACGTTAAAACAAATTAAATTGCTTTTTTTAAGTCTAGAGAGTAGTACAACCGAATTGCTATCTTTAATAGTGACGACAATGGAACGAAAACAAAATTATATTTCTGCCGAATAAAGTGTGCAATCTCATATAGACTCAGCCGGAATGCTATAATAAATTAACCTGATTATTTTATGTATTTAATATTCACATTATAATATTGTATTAACCATGATATTCCCACAATAATTTAGTTTACATGATTTAAATCTTAGTATTTAATTTGAAATGTTTATTGTAAAAAACTAACCGAGCTTTCTGAGTTATATAGTCAATAAATAATTTAATTTGATTTGTTTTATTTAATGAATATAAAACTTTAGGTCAGTGTGATCACTTAAAATTTATATGTATGTAGTTTATTTATTTCGGACATAACTTGATATTAATATTTTTTTCAATCTTATACAATTCCACATACATATAATTTCAAAATGCGAAAAACACTTTTAAAATTACTGATTCAATAAAAAAGATACTTATAATTACGTATGTGGTGTAGCAAAAAGGTTCTATTCAGAAAAGTATTTTCTTTTTACTTATAACATATCTCGACACAAAAGACGATATAATACATCAAAAGAAAGTACAAAAAGGTCGTGATAACTTAACACTTACCTGTGGCACTGACGAGTGAGTGCAGCTCTGAGGAACGCTACCATTTTATAGGAACAAGGGAATAACGCACAGGGGATGCGTCGAGAGGGCAGATTAATCACGGTGACAATAGTTAATTGATATTTTTCATTTTTATTTTTTGTTTCAGCATTGTGAATAAGGTTTTATGGTTAATATTTAAAAAAACATTCATATTAAATTTGTGATCGTATCATATTGAAGTTAACGTGTAATTGAACATTTTTTTTTGCAATGAAATTATGTTATAATAAACTCCTTATTGAAACATTATATCGATTCAAACCAAACGATTTTATAAAACAAACCGTCAAAAATAATATTAAGAGTTGAATAGACGAATTTCATTAGTTTATTTAAGTTACAAATAATAAGAATATATATCTGATAAGGTTCTACCATCTCATCAGGTTCAATGCTGACCGAACAACACTGTAAATTATCATTTTTATAATGTATAAGGTCTATGTTGTGGTGCATACCTTCCACTGTTTCAGATTTCCATAATAAAAAAACTTTAGCATGTATATAATGTTGTCTAATATTTATTTAATAATAAATAGACATAGTTTTCATAAATCAATAGATTTTGATTTTAAAAAAAATATTTAGTTATAACCGACTCCGTCCTCCCTTGTTCTCAAGCAAAAACCCCCTGCCGTTTTTCTCTCCGGGGTGTACTATCAGAAATCGCCCCTCAGCCTCTAGCGTCACGGAACAATGTTAATTAAATGCAACCATACCATACCATAATGCTGCTCAAATGCTGCCAGCCACTTACCGCACCGCGTCACTACTCGTTAACTAACTGTTATGGAAATTGCGTTTTTCTTTTTTCTCGATACATTTAAGCGTAGGTTAAAATTACTTATTTGGTAAGTTGGTAGAGTAAAATATTTTTCAGAAAAAACTACTATTGTACGTGTTCTATCGAGATTTGTTTTCGCCCAATTTTTTTATTCTTTCGATTGATTCTGAGTGAATAGTCCGTCGGTTCAATATGCCGCCATCTCTGAGGTCCCGGGCTCGAATTCCGAACGTATTAATGTAGAAAAAGGAAGTTTCTTTATTATCTTTGTTCTTGAGAAAATACTTACATAAAAACTATTTGAATAAAACTTCATATATTTTGCATCCAAACCAATGACGTAATGAAGTAGCTCATATTTGATTTTTTTTGAACAAATGTAATTTGCGTCTTATAAACATTAATTAATCGTTGGAGGAGTTCGATGGCGCAGTGTACGATTGTAAAGCAACTTTCGCTATGGCCAGTCATGGGATGGGTACCCAAAAATTTATTACCTTGAACTACCCCGTGTTTCGAAAGGCACGTTAACCCGTTGGTCCCGGCTGCATCTACTTAGATACTCACCAATTCTGTAATGGACGCATTCTCCATATTCGATTCAATTATATTTGATCTATAGGAAAGGCCCGAGCCTCAGTTGTAGAGACATTAATAGACAGGTGGTGAATAATGAATGTGCCTGTTTGTAGAATGATGTGAAAAGGTTGTGTATACCTGTAATTTAGATGCATAAATAATACCTATTATTACTTTAATGGTTTATAAACATAAATACATCTGTACATTCTTTCGAACTTTCGCATTTGTAATATTAATAGGGTTATAAACTTATAAAGCCACAATCGTTTTTTGAAGAAATGATGATTTGAATTTCAACACTTTCCTTTTACATTTCTCAATAGCTTTCAAGCATTTATTGCTTTGCTTAGACAACTTCAAAGAACGTCAAAAAACGTCATCGTTAATTGGATTAAACACATATCAATAAGTTCATAAATATCTTCCAATATCATATTGAAAGGAATTGCGATTGATATTAGAATTAGACAATTAGAACCCTAGTTTGATTCAAATAAGTTTCACGATATGCCGTTTACTATATGCTAGAACGATAGGATATGTACTTAATTAAAATATTCCAAACATAACGCACTTAAAAATATATTTTTATTGAGTTAAATCCAAAAATGCCTTCTCTAATAAGGCGTATGATTCATTGACTACAGATGTTATGTTGACAGCTGGCCTGCCGTTGTTGATCAGCCAAACTGATCCGCCGGCGCCATGTTTGAACATATCTATCACACCGCGCACGACGGACTCCGGTCTGGAATAATAAAAAAAAAAATTAAAGGTGCTAAACGGCCATCTTGGTTCACATTGAGCTTCAATTTCAGAGTTTGAGGTGCGTAAATGATATGAATTTTTATAAATCAATATAATACCAATTAACATTAAGATAACGAATTTTTAATCGAACCCAAATTATAAAATTGCGACGCATTTAGGGTGGCCAAAATTATTAACTTAATATTTAGTAATACAGAAAAGAACAACAAGCCAATTTAGAAAATATCGTATATTTTATCGCTTCTTGATTAAGTCGTGTCCAAAAATTATAATAAAGTATGTGTAAAGTTAAACGAACCCAAAAAATATTTAGTGAATATTAGTTATAATAGTTAATCGACCCTATTCTTATTTGATTCGCAATGTTTTAAAATAGTAAAAATGTAGTTGTTATATATGTCGCAGTCACGTGGTATAATCAGCCAACCAATTGGGCAGCTAGCTCTTTAATTGAATGGTGGGCTGACTTTCGATTAGCCAAGTAGCAGAACGCAACGTTCTACAATACGGCTAAACAAAAGTCAACTAATTAACTGGTAGGAATTTTATCGGTAGGATTGTTGTGTTATACGAATATATATAAGATTTCCTTCACTCACTTTTGGTATATGATACGTAATTCTTCGATTTTTTTGTTGACATTCTCCCCTATTTTTGGGTCGTATGATCTCTTCTCCAAGTTGTGGAGTAGAGCGGTGTCCGTCGCCCCGAGGCAGTTGGTCAAGATTCTAATCCCCGTGTTCTCGTAAAACGACTCCATCTGAAAATTATTGAGTATTTTCTCACATGAAAAAGTATCTATAATATTTATGGGAGTTACTGTATATATTTTAAAATATTCTAAAAAGTAGAGTTCCAAAACCAACAAGAATGCCGAGGAAGAACAATACTCCTTTCACGATTAATTTGATCGTGTATTATCGGAAGCCACAAAGACTAGAGATCGTGTATGCAAAAAGTTATGAATACTATGGAAGCAAAAGATAGTGTAATGAACGCTTTAACTAACTGTTTTCCCACGACTTAGCACGTGTAAATTACAGTCTATGTCAACCGCGTATGATGTAGCTACCCATAGGTGAATGAATTTTTGAAATGGCTCCAGTAGTTTCGAAGCAATGCAAACAAACATACAAAAAAATTATCAAATCTTTTCTCGTTATAATATAACGTTATATTATCATAGATTTGATAGAATTTTCATATGGGTATGTGTTAAAAATTACTGAAACATTTGAAAAATCATCAAAACTGGCACATTGGGGCCGTCCATTAATCACGTGATGTTTTTTTCAACATTTTTGACCCCCCCTCCCCCTTGATGATACATGGTGAGGTTTAACCAAACTTCAACCAAATCACGTGTATTTAAAAAAAAAAATCTTTATTATTGACGTCGCTTTTCGGTTTGATATTCGCACGTCGAGGAAAAAATAAATACACGTGATATATTACTACAACCCCCCCACCCCCTTGTGATATTTCGTGATTTTTGACGAATCCTTTCGAGCCTCACGTGATTAATGGACGGCCCCTTGTGTTTCAATTGTTGACAACGCGATTTTTGAAACTTAGTTATATGAAACTCTACATAATATAGACAGAAAAATAATAATACTTATGATACGACATTTTCTCTGCTACACAGATAATCTTCACGCATATGATTTTAACCAAATAATTATTAGAATTCGGCCTTCAGAGGTAATTTTTATTCGTACGAATCTTACCTCATATTTTAAGTCGACTAAAAATACATACCGCTAGTGTTTGACTGAAGTGCATCACTGCTGCCTTACAACCAGAATATATGGGTGTAAATGGACTTTTTAAGATGGCAGCAACCGATGATATGTTGATAATTGTACCTCCACGACCGGCATTCAACGAGGGATCGTCCTTCCTCATGTGTTTAACACCCTTCATTGTAAAAGAGATTAAGCCTTGCTGAAAATAAAACAAGGAAATTACTTTTGACACTATTTAATTAATACTCTTACACACACATTACACATTATTTTCAGATTCTTTACTCTCTCTGTTGTCACTATGCAAATGCATGCAGGGCTCAATCTAGTAGATGGTGAGCAATTGCCTAAAACGGCTAATGATTGACAGAAAAATTGAGATCAGCCTGAATCCTGGATTTCTCAATAAGTAACCTGCATAGTTTCCCAAATTTTTCATAACAAGCCATTTTGAATTTATAGGTAAATAAAAATATATATAAAAACCCGGGCGTGGTGACAGATAGACAGCCACGTCTTAGTAATAGTTACCTTTTGGGTACAGAACCCTGAAAACATATGACATTATATTTATCTTAAAAAATGGAATCAGTTGCTGGGGCACGAAATGGGACTATTACACATAAATTTTGACATTGCAGACTGCTCTAACCATTGAGTTACCCAAACTGTAACGGGATTGGCGCTTATTTAATTAAAAAGCTTATTTTCATCAATATTAGGGCATTTAAAAATTCAAAATAAATATTTATGCAAATATAATATTTTAACTTTCGAAAAAGATAAAATTGCGTGTATCGGTATTTATCTTAAAGATAAATATCAATATAGTATTATAAAAACAAATGTTACATAACTCTTTATCAATCCAGAAATAAAGTGTATTTGGTATAATGGCGATAAAATTTAAATATCGTATCATTTATCTTTGTTTTTGTCAATCATTGTGAATTTGTTGTATTATCTAATCTAATGACGTAACATTTTTATTGTAATATCATTGTGGAGTTCCACTCACGAAAGAAGGCCCTTGGATTACAATGTTTTCGCTTTTATTACAAAGAAATAAAAGTTATGCCGTGGGACTTCTTTCGTGAGACAGACTTAATATACACATTCAGACACTTAACTATATTTTTACGAAGCATTATGTGTATTATAATTCCTTTTTTTATCCTAGTATCTAAAATTAATAACTTTTATCATTGTAAATTCCACCTGAGTTCGAAGGCGACAGATTTTTAGCTTAGCAGAGAAGAAATTGCCTGTTGATTCGATACAGCCCGGGGCTCACCTCCATCGAGAGGGTATATTGTAGGGTTTTAAGAGAGTAGGTATCCCTTTTTTCAAAAGACCCTCACAAGGGGGGTGGGTGGAAGACCCCCGGACCCAGACGCTTGACGCTTGCCAAGCGACAAGAATACTGCAATGCATTCTCCTTAAGTTAAAACGTCGGATTTAACTTGTATACACCTGACCCCAAGGGGTATATCCACCACTTTGGAAATGTCTATAATGTGTTCAAGTTTGCCATTGCAAAGGAAGTCATAGAACAGTCTCACTTACAACATTAACTTCGCACGCAGCCCTCCAAATGTCTGGCGAATCGTCCATTATCCCAGCGTTATTGATTATTACATCGATGTAGCCGAACTCGCTGACCACTTCATTGAAGGCTCTACTGATGTCCTCCTCTTTGCTGACGTCACATTTTATGAAGGTGGCACTTCCTGGATACAGCTGGTTCAGTCTTTTGACTGTAGCTTCACCTAGTTTATCAGCTACATCTAATATGGCCACTTTCTGTGATGGAATATTTGTATTAGTAAGTAAAGGTGTAACACAGAAAATGCTCTTTTCAGATATTGAATGAATAAAAAATACGCAATCTTTTGTTTTTTCGATTTTATAAACATGTCATCAGTTTAATTAGGTGATAACTGATGTAATGCATACTACAACTGATTGGATTTCGATAAAATTGAAATGAAAATCGGTCAACAATTCGCGGAGTTTTGCGGTTGCACAATACATTTTTTTTGTATTTTTCGCCGGAAACCTTTGACTGTATGGTGTATGTACAATAAAGAATATTTCATTCATTAATTTAAAAAATACATGGCCGTCAAACATATACCCTAGCCAAAAGGCTTGGTTGACAGCCAAAATTAAGAATAAATACAAAAAATAAGATTAATAGATTGTAATTCAAGGGGCTAAAACGACTCACTGTATACGAGATAGTTTTAATCCAGAGCAGATGATGTGAAACTACCTTTGAATCAATAATGGTATAAGTAAAACTGAATAATGAAAAGTTTTAGCGGCGTGTGTCACACGTGTTTATTAAAATTCTCTTAATTTTAATTAAATAACAAAGAGTATTTTAAACTAGAAGATCTACTAATTTCTCCATTTCACTTTAAAATCTACACTCAAGAAATAAAGATTAAAAATCAAGTGGAGATTGAAAGATTTCCATAAATCTGGCGTGCTTTTGTCCTATTTATTTATCATTTATACGTATAGTTTTGAAAAAGGTATTAGTATAGATTTAAAAGTTTTTTTTATTGAAACCGATAGTAAATTTTATCTCAAATTAGTCTAATAAATAAATATTAATATCTACTGATTTCTCATATGTTTACGCAGACTACTAATTAAATGAAACAACTTTAAACGGTTAAAGTGCGTTTGTATTTGCTATAATGACATTTCGTACCCTTTACAGGTTCCGTGTTCACTTAACACTTCGATCATTTTATTTTAAGTGTTCCGTAGTAAACTAGGTACCGGTATAGTGTCGCCATGTCTATCTGTCCGAGCGTACGCGGTTTAGCTCAAAAAGTTTTGGTACTAGAAAGTTTTAATTAGGCATAGTATACACGTCAATTACTACGGATTAGAAGTAAGACGAGTTAAGACGGATCCTCGTCAATTAAACTATTTTCTAAGCTGTTTTATATATTACTGAATTTCAAATATATAATTTACATATTAACCTGAATTTACATACAGTTATTGCGCAAATTATTTCCCATATTAAGGGGTGCACCCCTACGGCAAGGCCAGTTGAATATAATGAGGTTTTGGATTATCCACCCTAATCGACGACGATTCCACCCCCCTGTTTTAGATAATGTTAGTTATAGTTGTTAATACACTGTAAAATTATATAATCTGTCTTATTTATCATTTTGGGCTCACCGGCACGGTATTTTTAAAAATAATTTAATTTAATATTATTTCATTTAATATTTTTTTTAATACAAACGCGCTGTTACCGTTTGAAGTACATAGTTTAATTTATTAATATCTTTTATTATTGTAACTACTCGCCTCCGCACCTTCCTTTAGGAAACCCTCCGCATAAGCGGCGCCTAAGCCTGAAGCTCCGCCGGTAATCAACACCTTCGTTCCACTGATTTCAAACATGTCTCTAACAAATACTTTGTACCTTTGAAACATTATCAGTATACGAGTGTATATATATATTAGTTGTCATAATGACGCGCTTTTATCATGTGACGTCCTCACACCAAAATTAGTTCGTCCATTATGATTATCCACTCTTGATAATATTGTGCTGCGTCATTACAATATGTACTGATCGTCTTTGTAGTTTTTTAAAATCAATTTTTCGATATTTTAACTATATATATTGATATAATAACAATATGACGTCTATAATGAACAGAGGTCGGAATCAGGTAGAGTTATTTATGTACTTGCATCGAAATGTTGATATTAATGTGGACCTTCCCGGGACTTCTTTATTTCTTTCTTTCATTGATGTAAGTTTGGCAACGTCGTGTGTGCAGTAGTTTAAATTGTGTAAAAGTAAATAACTTTTTATTTAAAAAATCACGGGATTTTTTCTGCTCTTATAATTAATCTCGGGATTTGAGGCATATCCACTTTATTCTTTCGCTGTATGAAATCAGTGTAAGTACATGAATAAGTCTACCTAAATCCGACCACTGATAATGAATGAAAAAAAACACACACATAGATTTGTCAATTTATAGATTACATACAAAAATATACCTGTACACAAAATGTTATATTGCGTTTGGTCAACGACCCATCTCTAGTTTGTAACATTCGTTAGTTTGTTATATCCCTTTATTACCCTACTTGAACAAGCCGATCTTTCATCCTGTTCTTTCATCCTAGGAGGTAAATAAAACCGTGTCATAAACTGACCATATTTTAGTATTCCAAAAACTAGAAATATAATTCTTTACAATGTAAATGTAATTAGATATACATATACCTTTTTTAAAAAAACATAACACCGCGATATACTAAATGTACACCTCCATCTTTTAATGAAAATAAGAAATAGTATATATGTCATAAATATCATTCACAAAACCATGAATACATTATTTTATAAGCATTTTGTTTTTTTAATAATTAAAGTACCTAAATACGACTTATAAACTACTAAGATCGGAGATAATAAAAAACATTGCTGCTTGGTACCTACACCCGGTAATTTTCACACAATCTCTTGGTGACCCGCATAATATACTTGGTTGACAGAGCTTTGTTCGGTATATTTTTTTTTGGTAACTAAAACTTAGCTAAATCGATTCATCGTCTGCAAAACTGTCTGCATATAAGTATTCAGATTGTATATGTCGTGGCCATATCGTAGAATTGGTCACTTCATGATCCGGCTGGTCATTTCATGAAACGGCCACCTAAAATTGATCATATCGTTTAAGCATTACAACGTTTTTTTGGAAAATCAGTCGGCAGTTGGCGAAATTATCGGTGGACATACATAAAAAAACATACATCGCCGTCGAACATATAACCTCCTCCTTTTGGATTTTGAAGTTTGTTAATAACGTTTACTCATTACTTTTTCCTGTGTAATAGGGATGATGACTGGGTAAAAAAAATGCAATTCTATTTAGTCCGTCAGTCAGATAATAGAAAAATATTAGATACGTATTTTTTTTTACTTCAATTTAACAAAAAATAGCTTAGATAACTGACATTGAAGTTGAGGAGTGGGGCCCGCTACGTCACAGTTGAGTAGGAAACGTACCATAACGTGACGTCATGCGAAATCTCAACTGCATGTAACCCCGTAATTTTATAATTACGAAAAAAATAAAAAAATACGTCTTTAATATTTTTTAACACTCTACCTGACTGACAAACAAACAAAAATTTGTCGTCATCCCTATTGTATGTTTAACGATTGTGTGTGAATATGATCGATCGAAACTGATAATGTTTTACAACATCAAAACATAAAAGTCATCGTGACATTTTGTTCAGTTGGATGTACAGCCAACCGAACCGTTTATATAGCAGCGCGTCATATTACTACAAAAGGCAATATTCCATTAATTGTATGCCATAACTTTTAATAGTTAAGTTCAAATTGATTGTAGAAAAACCTTATGTTATAACCTGACTAATTTTCCGCCAGCGGCTTCGCCCGCGTGGTCCTGTATTATACATAAAAACCTTCCTTTTGAATCACCCTATCTATGAAAAAAAAACCGCATCAAAATCCGTTGCGTAGTTTTAAAGATTTAAGCATACATAGGGACAGGGACAGAGAAAGCTACTTTGTTTTATACTATGTAGTGATGTGTTGCTGTATGTACGATTTACATATATTATGAATTGCCAAATAGGACTTTTGTCACAGAACCAGTACCATATATTATTTTAGGATGAATTATAACACCCTTTTCGTGTTATTTCAAACATTTAAATTGACATTTTGCTGCAGTAACAATAAAGATAAAGCATTAGAAATAGTGATCATGTCCCAAGAGCTCGCTCGCCACTGCCGGCCGGTTTATAGATAGATAGATAAAAAGTTTATATCTCAGCAACACACAATTACATCACTTATTAAACATTGACACGATAAAAGAAACGAAGAACAAGAAGCAGAAATATAGCTGTATATGCATGCAGCAGTTGAGAGAAGGATCTAGGCTCGGTGCACTAAAACCATCTAATGCAGATGAAGGCCGGTTTTCAGCCATCAATGAGATGAGCGGGGACAAAATGTTTATGAATCGGATGTATCAGAATATTATGATGTCAAAAATTAATATAAATAAAGATAAAAATGGTACGATAAAAAAATCGGGAAATAAAAATAATAATAAAATAAAAAGGCATGTCAAGTATAATGCATAATAAATGATAGTTTAGCGTTAGAAGTCAGATATATATTGATGAGAATAATGTAAAGATAGTTTCAAGGTAAGGTTAATTTTGAGATGCCGGGTTCGACCCCATTCAGGTCAATATAAATAAACATATATCCGATCGAGTTGTGATACCGTCATTGTTGAGATTTCAATAAAACAAAAAGGCGTAAAAGGCAATAAAGGTAATATTACACTGAAGCTCTATAGCCGTGGCAGCGTTTCGTTCGACTACGAGTTCGAGGTTATTTTCAGAGAATAGCATCTGTACATCGTATTATATGCTGTACAGATAATGTTAGTTAAATATTTCTAATTAATGAAGTCGTATTTGTGAGGGAGAGCGCCAAAATAACACTAAAGTAATTAATATTAAATAATCATTGCGTAATATGCGTGAGGATGGGGAATATCAAGTTTCTGTCCCAATTGGAAAAAGTTTTAGATCCGTGCTTGCTTACTGGACGTTTGTTACATACGGTTGTTAAATTTGCACTCATTTTATTTTTTCAATTGATTTGTCTTTTTTTATTTGTATATTTTTTTTTACTTATATATAATAATTTAATAAAGTGAATCATGACTTCAACAATTATATAAACAAAGTAAAACTACACGAAACCGAAACGAAAATCTATGATTGATTGAATTTTATAAAAGATTATTACGTCTTGCGGTGTGTATTTTAAAATAATTTTTTGAATCTGTCCATATGTATCAAATCTTTCCTTTTATAATGTTAGTATGGGCACAGGAGTTATCAGCTTAAGTTTTTTAGCTTAGTTTATGGAGTGGCGCAATCTTATTGATTGTGAGACACAAACGTAATAGTAGTATAATATCAGCTCTATAGCGTAGCGCAATCGTTGTTGTGAAGTTATTTTTGTAAGGTTTGGTCACGGGAAGGATGACCAAAAAAATATTATCTCGAGTTGTTCCATACTTCGGAAGGCACGTCAATCGGCTGAATTTGCAATAGTTTATACACTCCAATCCGCATTTGGCCAGCGTTGGAATTTCATGGCCTATCCTTCTTATTTTCATAAGAAAGACCTGAGCCCCTGTAGTGGGCACGTAATAGGGCTGATGATGAATAATCCAAGCTTAGCATAAAGCTACGAAATCCTGTTCAGATTTATTGTAGCATATTTGTTACCAAGATTTATCAATCAAGTTATTGGTAATAATATGTTGAAATTATTCCATGACATTAGACTATAGAATTGCTTTTGCTATGATGTAAAGTTCTCGAATATATTTTCGATTAGAGTGTAATGATGAATGTAATAAGTTTGGTAAGGAAATAATACAGATTTTGTTATAGACAATTTTTCACTTCAGGCATAGACAATGTGATTTCAGTGTTTACAAAAAACGATATAATACAACTTTGCCACTGTAGGAACTTATTATATTTTCCAATTGCATTACTTTATCGATACTAGCTGTTTTCCCGCTTAAATTAAAGTCTATCACCGGCGTATGATGTAGCTTCACGTAAATAAAAGAATTTCCATGGTAGGATCAGTATTTTCGAAGATTACCCTCTACAATCAAACAATGCATGTTTGTTTTTTTATAATATTAGCTTACTGTGCCTAATGTCCTATTAAAAGAAAAAAAAATTGCAATCACCGTGTGATAGAGATTATTCATATTTATCTACCTTATTGTGATCGGCCGGTTTCAAAGCGTCGCTGTCTCTGAGGACCGGGATTCGAATCTCGATCGGGTCAACGTTTGTAGCATCATCTAAATGTTATGCTATGCCTTCATTATTTAGGATTTCCACAATAAAAGTACTTAAGATACTTAATTTGAAATCTGAGCAATGAATATGAAGTTATCTAATATTATTCCATAGAAACATACATGGACTCGAATATTAGAGTAGGTATTATTTCATGCATAGAAATTTTTAAGGTTGCTCACTAAACTATTACACTGTTTTAGAAAGAAGTTGTCTTCCTGTCCAACAGAATGTTCTTATCGGTAACTAGATAACATTGGCTGTTAAGTCAATGTTATTTGTTTTCGCCAACCCCGCGATTACATTCAACTCACTATTGTGTGTAAGCAGATGGTTATCGATTTTTCACTAAGTTTTAAGGGATATCTCTATTAAATTAGAAAAAAAAATCAAATTATTCGTGAACAAAACAAATAATATAAATATGTACATACAACAGCATCTTGGGTTGCTACAAAAGACGAAATTTCTGCTATGAATCTTAAAGATTAAGGCTTAAAATAGATTAGCACAATTTAGTTTGAACTCAACTTAATGGAACTTAATGGAATTGAAAGTTTATTATTTAATTGAACTACTACGCTCGTCGTAGATTGCTGATTAGGTACATACCGTGAGGTTATACTGTACTAAATAAATAAATGCAAATCTTGTGGATACACGCCAGCAGTTCCAGACGTGCGAAGAAAATAAAAATCAAAAGGGTAAATATGTACATATTCAACAAGTTCAAACTTTATTTTAAGAAGACGCCCAAGTCAAAATTTCTGATTTCAAGCTGCGTAAAGTTAACTGTTTTATTATTATTGTTATTAGGTATATATTTTTTTAATTTGTAATTTTCTATTCAGAAAACTTCTACCTACCGGTGTAAATTAACAAAAAATATATATATTTTGTTAATTTTAAAACAAAAAAAAAACTTTATTTTATTTTATATGAAGTATATAAGTTACATACATCGTAATTATAATGAAAATTGACGAATGAATGTGTGAGTCAATAATTCCAATTATTATTATTAGAGTGATTATTTAAAACAAAAATTACGTCTTACTATCTCGCACAACACGTCATGTTACTCATGTAAAGCAGTGGCTCCATGTAAGCCAAGCATTAGATGTGATTAAATAATTTAACGATTTTGTTTTCGAGTAAACTGTATTAATAGCTTCTTAGTTTAAAAACTTTTAACTACTTACCTCTTTTGTGTCAACAAAGATACGACAAGGTAATTTGTTAAGTTACAACCATTATCGATAACAGCAGAAAATCAAACAAAATATTTCTTTTACATTTTTAATTTTTAAAAAGCATTTAAACTTTTTGATGGTACACGGATAAGATTGAAGGTTTATAGATAAAAAATGTAAAATCCTAACTGATAGATAACATACCTATGTCTTCAACCTACACTCGCTACTGAACACTACGTTTGTTAGACTTTTGTGGCATAATTCACCACCACACCACCAGCCCTTTTACGTCCCCACTGCAGGGGCTCAGGCCTTCCTTATGGATGGTTAAGGAGGATGGGCCATGACCCTCCACGCTGGCCCAATGCGGATTGGAGGGTATTGACGACTGCAAATGCAGCCGGGACCAACGGCTTAACGTGCCTCCCGAAGCACGGAGTAGCTCGAGATAATAATTTTTTGGTCATCCATCCCGTGACCGACCCTTGCTAAAGTTGCTTAACGACTACGATTGCGGGCCGCGGCGCTTATCCACTACGCCACCGAGCTACTCCTAATTATCTTATTGTAAATATATCACGATCCCCTTTAAACGTATAGTAGTTACTGTCACAATCGCTATTAATGAAATTGTGTAACTTTTTAAGTCACAATTGCTTTTGGACAATTTATTTCGTTTGACATTACCCGATAGCTTTCAAAAATATTTGTAATTAGATATTTATTTATAATATGATATTAAGGCCACCGGTTCGTCGACAGATGTGGCCAGAAAACTGCCATTTATTAATCTTGTCTGTTATGTCAATGAATTAGGCTATCTGTTGGATGACCGTACCTATATAATTCGAAGAAACTCCAACCAAAGCACTTTCCATAGGTCGCTGGTTGAATTTTATGGAATGCTATTTGTTTCCTGCGATTATGCCGGAACATTGATGAAAATACGCTCTGTAGTAGCAAAAAGTAACAAGTGCTTGAAAAATTCTTCAGTCCTGTTAAGCCCTGGGTAGCTCAGTGTTTAGAGCAATGGCACGAATTACGAGAAGTCATGGGTTCCAAGTCCAATCTAAGAGTGCCAGGGACAAAGTAGATATTATAAGCAATTTTTATTAAGAATAAATTTTCATTTTCAACTATAATAATGTATAATATGTTTTATCTAACGCTTGATATTTATTAGTCGTTACACGATGCGTCTTCAGCCGATGAAAGACTATGATAAATGGGACATTCATGTCTTTTTTTAGACCGGAGTCCGTCGTGCGCGGTGTGGTAGACAAGTTCAAACTTGGCGTCAGCGGATCGGTATGGCTGATTAACTGACCAGTCTTGAGATTCTGCGATTATCCAAACCCAAATTCGAATTTACTCCGGTGTCCGTGTAACCACTTCGAAAAGCGATATCCGCCGCTCAATCTTGAATGAGGAAGTATTTTAAGAAAAAAAAAAGCACTAAAAAGCACCTCACTAGATGGCGACTCTAGCAAAGGTTGATATTTGTAAGGAACTTATGGACCAAAAATAGTCATTTCCGTTCCTTTTAATTAACATATAAAAAAACTGAAATTTGCAAAGTGCGAACCTTAATATTAAACGAAAGTCCGTATTCAGTCTGACTCATTAAAAGGCATAATGTTTTTTAACTAGACGACCCCGCTAATTTCAGATAGATAGATAGAATATTCTTTATTGCACACACAAAGACAATATACACTTATATGACAAAAACAGGAGACGTACAATTGACGGCCTTATCACTAAAAGTGATTTCTTCCAGGCAACCTTGGGATGGAGTTAAATATAAAAGTCCTAATGATGGGGTAGTGGATGGTGTACAAATAAACAATTTATAAATATACACAATTGACAATTGTTATATACTTAATTATAATTTACCTAGATATACTATATATATATATTAAATATTATCATATAAAATATAATACATATATAATACCTATATACATACTTTCATGGACAGGTAGTGCTCTGTGACAAGTTTCTTAAAAATATTAAGAGAATTAGCTTTTCTAATCGACAAAGGTAGCGCATTCTATAGGCGTAAACCGTGGACGGTAAAAGCGGCATTAGCATTTCCAGTCGCAGGTTTTCTGACAATCTCAAGATAATCAATCTTCTGATAATTTTAGTATTATTACTATTATAAACGAGCTTTTATCCCGCGACATCATCCGCGCAAATTATAACTTGTGTCAACCGCGTATGTACTTTCTTGTGAGTGAAAAGATTATTAAAAACGTGTTCATTTATTATTTCCTTCCAATTTCGAATCAAAATAATTTTTTTTCGTAACAAAACTAGAACTTCTGTTTATTTATAAATCGACATATTAAACTGGTTTCTTTTCCGTTCGTATTTTCATTGGTATCCGTATAGAGTGTCGGCTATTCCCGTGTTTTGAGGTCGAGGAATACCGTGAAAATTATAAACAACTAAGTTTATAACAAGTATTGTGTTACTAAGAGGAAAATAAAGTCGGTAAACTGAATATAAACTTCAAGAATTATTAGAATATACATTAATAAGTAAATATGTGTACATATATGTAGCAGGGATATGATAAAATAAGAGATTTTATAAAATTCCTATGCGATATCATGGTAGTTCTTCTCTACGCCTCTGCCCAAAGAAAATTTAACAAGTGCCATTTTATTCTTTCTCTCTGATATAAGTTAGTGTGTCGAAGATATTGACGTATACCACACAAATAAGAGAAACAAATCCAATCTCATAAACTTCTTTAATATATATTTTTAGCCGTAATAAAGCTCATAAATGATATTTTTGTTAAAAATATATTGATATTTTTATATGGTAAATACTCGTACATACATTAGGGTTTTTATAAAATGATTTTTCAATCGCCGAACAGTTTTCTGTACACATAAACTGATGAGTAGGCGCTTACCACGGAAGTGAGGACATATTTTTTCCACATTTCTTCTGTTTCAATTAATATTGGTTATACAGATAAAACTTGTTTTATTAAATCTGAATATCTGAAAAAACAAAATTGATGACATAAGCGGGCTGACAGCAGGGAGGCACCAAAATTTCAACATCAGTCCGATAAATCTACGGCGAGAAGAGACGGCAATAGACTGTTTTTATAAAATTAAAGTGACCCAAAATTTTGGTTCAAATAGCTTATGCAACGGGTCACTCATTATAGTAAATTATATTTTCTGTCTTTCTTATGGTTTGGGGGTTGTGGTTGATATAGATTTCCATAACATCAAGGCTTCTAAGATCCGAGCATTATAATAAAGTTAATTATGTTTTCATTTTAAAATTACTCTATATTACAATGTGAGTCAGATTTATTTATTCTGATTATTAAGTATTTTTATTAAGTTGCATGGTAAAAATGATACTTATAATAGATTAAAACAATTTCTATTTGTAATGTTACTCTGTTTCTCCGACACCGAAATTTCGTTCTTTATTCCAATCGCTAATAAGACTCCAAAGAATTTTTCAGTAATTTATGATGCGTGATACGACCCTGCCTCCGATGCACAGATGATTGTCACGTAACAAAATAAGGAAAAGGGATTCCTAATTTTCCGAATTTCCGTTGGTTATTATGTCCTCTAATATTGGTTATGCGAGGCACCTGTTTCATTATAATAATAATAATAAAAAGATAATGCAACTTATAAACCTTAAATCTCTTCCGTATATAGGCTGGCACTGTGTTCCGATCGAGATATGGTGTCTAAAGAACCGTTACCCGAGTCCGGCCCTGTATTATCCGAAGGAGTATCAATAGCTAGACGCTCAATTGTCACTTTTATATTATTAGACAGCTTTGCCTTGTCTGAAAAATAATATTTTATTGAAATCATCTTCACTACATTTGAACAATCAGTTGTCTACCACTAGAAATTGGTAAAGTCATGAATGGGCCGGCTCCACCGGAGTGATACCACGGCCTCACAGAAAACCGAATGAACGCTTGCGTTGTGTTTCGTCGTGTGAGTGAGGGTACCGGAGGCCCAACCCCTCCCTACTCCCTTCCCTCTACCCCTCAACTCTTCCCTCTAAGGCCGGCAGCGCACTTGTAGCCCCTTTGATGTTGCAGGTGTCCATGGGTGACGGTAATCACCCACCATCAGGTGATCCGTCTGCTCGTCTGCCCCCTATCCCATAAAAAAAAGAGAAGCAAATACTTCGACATGTGTTTTGAGGCAACCTCCCCCTCCCCTGGATTTTGCATACATACTTCCTACATGCACATGCTAAATGTTGATTGGCCAAGAACCCCGAATCCGATTTGCCCGTCCCCTGGCCAAGACTTTTATCTTAATGAAGCAGATACGTACCTGGTAAACAGTCACTGGGACAAGGACATATACTTGATATATCCGGACTGGTTATGCGTATATTGGCGTACGAATGCTTTAGGACTATGTTCTCGTTGGAGCACCCACATTTACCACAATTAGATTTAACATTCTCCTTCGTAGTATATATACCTGAAACAGGCGGCAATACTCACACTAGCATTCTCCTGAAAGTTCTTAAACATTGCCTTAAAATGTACCTATAGCTCTAGAAGTTAATAGAAGGAAATCCATTGGACGTGTACCAAAAATTGTCTACCTAGAGCTGTTCCGTGCTTCAGATACCTAATGCATTTTGGTCTATGCTATCTGCAATCTTTATTACCTACCACTACATATGAGGCGCGCGGTAAATTATGGGCTACTCATAAGGATTCCATGTGTTGTTCCAGCAGTGGGAACGTTATAAGGCAATCGATGTTAATGATATTAAGCAAAAGTTAAAAAATAATAAACAATATTTTGCTAGGTCTGTGGTTTTCTTTCACCTTTAAAGTTGCAATCTGAAAGAGATTCGCTTTTAGCTATTAGACCGCTTTTACTCACTGAGTTAAGCAATTTCATGAAAATTCTCTTTATCTGAGTGAACAATAGAGTTTATATCTATTTATCTCTCTTCATAGTTTAGAGGGTATACAAGAACAGCCGGGAGGGACTTGACGTAACGTCTAACGGTGCGTCGCACCACCGTTTATTTCGTCCTAGATTTCCGCATGCAAACATTTGGGCTTTGATATTCAACATCATTAATTACCGTAGCCGAGTGGTTCGCACGCCGGTTTCAAGGTGTCGCCATCTCTGAGATCCCGGGTTCGATTCCCGGTCGGGTCAATGTAGAAAATGAACTTTTCTATATTGTCTCTGGTCTGGGTGTTGTGGTGCCTTCGTTGCCTCAGATACTCCATAATACGGGGGCTTTAGCTACTCATCTTGGAATCTGAGCAATGTATGTGATGTTGTTAAATATTTATTTTTATTTATTTAAAATTTTGAGTCTAATCCAATATGCTCTTTATGAATGTCATCATCAGCCCTTTTACGTCCCCACTGCAGGGGCTCAGGTCTTTCTTATGGATGGTTAAGGAGGATGGGCCATGACCCTCCACGCTGGCCCAATGAGGATTGGAGGGTATTAACGACTGCAAATGCAGCCGGGACCAACGGCTTTACGTGCCTTCTGAAGCACGGAGTAGCTCGAGATAATATTTTTTGGTCACCCATCCCGTGACCGACCCTTGCGAAAGTTGCTTAACGACAACGAAACATTATACATACTTAATTTCAAAAATAGCAATTTGTTGTAAAGTGTTTAAATCTATTTATTATTACCTGTTGTAAATGTACACTATATCCAATCAAATATAATAAAGTTAATTTACTCACCAAACCCGAAGAAAAGGGTTGTTTTTTGTTACAAAAAAAAAAGATTTTTTTGTGTGAATAAGGGTCACAAAAGACAATTCTCGTCGATTTTCATGTGAACACGTGATAAAATTGATCGTAAATCCTTTACCTTTAGCTCCTTTGGTGAATGTGAGCGGCACATCGATCGTGTTCATCAAGCCAGGTCTCTTATCAGGTGCCCGTCTGCTGCCCTGGTCTGCGCTCCTCCTGCCGCTGCGGCCCTGTCCTATCGAAGCGAAGGCCTTCTTAATCGACTGTCTGAAACCCTTTTTCTCTCCTTCAGGAGGCGACAGCAATGAGCAAAGGCATTCGTCAGTAGGCCCGAGTCCTTCAGTCAATTTATCCAAAGTCTCTTCGTCTAGTTTTTGTATATCATTTTTGTTCATTTTAATAAAAAAGGGTTTTTTAATTTTACTTTAGATCGCTTTCAATCTTGGAGAATTGAATTAAAATAGCGATATTTTGAATCCAATGCCATTTAAAGAATTAAAATGTAATCAACAGAATGTAAAATAAAAGCAACCCCATGTAGTACACTTAAGATTGCGTAAATAGGTGGTAAGCTTTGGTATCAAGTTGGCCAGTTGTATCGTTTTAAAATACGTGTAATAATATCCAACGGCAAAACATGTTGAATTCACGAACTCTATACACTGAGTGATCATTCTTTCTTATATTATATCGTCTTTTAATGTTTATAAATTTGTTAACCGAGCAGCGAATTAATGGGAAAGAATTGTGAATTTTGTAAACTTATGGAAAGGCATGGTGGTGATTGCTTTATTTTGCCCTGAAAAAGATGAAATGCAACTGTTCAAGGGTTGTATGGGTAACTCGCTCTCTTTTTAGAATATTTTAAGCTTAAAAAAATAAAATGATAACAGTAAATTCAAAATTAATGACTCGTAATTATACCAACTACCCTCATATGTTCTCGTAAAAATAAATTCTTTTAATACATATTATATATGAATAACAACATTATTCACCTTGAAAATTACATTTTTTTCTTCCAAAAGTTACATGTCCGACATTTATTGTGACAGCATTGTAACAACTGTATAATGTCATTATTTTTCCAAAAAGTTTTTAAGAATGTTACCAAGGTATTAATAAGTATTAAAAACTCTTTCATGACATTATATTTCGTAAAATTAAGATTCATTTACAAGAGATCAGTAGCCGAGACCATCCAGTGCCAGCCAGTATTGACCTTGTGTAAATGGAGACATCCTCGAGTCTCCATTTACACAAGGTCAAATGCTTGAGTTACTATTCTAAGCTCAAGCAAGTCCAAATAATAGAACGATTTATTTTTCTAATTTTCCTGAAGTGGCTTACATGTCTCGGCTACTGGCCACGTCTTAAATTGTCAATTACTAGCTTTCTGTCAGCGGCTTCGCCCACGTGGTCTTGTATTACACATGAAAACCTTCCTTTTGAATCACCCTATCTATGAAATAAACTGCCTCAAAATCCGTTGCGTAGTTTTAAAGATTTAAGCACACATAGGGAGCACACACAGAGAAAGCGACTTTGTTTTATACTATGTAGTGACTAGGAATTTTTGGCGCTAAAAACCCAGATGTACTTACTATACTACTATAGTATAAAAACTCATTATTATTATATAAAAACTTGGCCTGTATGATGTCTAACTAACCAATGACAAAAAAATGAAGTGGTTCTCAATTCGACACGCAAGTAGACACGTATATTTTTTATGTTAAGGTTCTTTTGTACCGCTCGCTTGATTTCATACATTTGTAAATACAGAAAAAACAAATACAGTCATATATTTTTTATACAATTTAGATTATATCAAAACCTATTTTTTATATAGTTTATATAAAATATATTAGTTGTCGATTTTTTCTATTAAAGCAATTATAGAAATGTTTCTTTCTGTTTTTAGCAAGTAATCTATTATATGTTTAATTTTCATAAAATGATTTTTATTTAGCAATTGTTAGCATAGTCATAGAATAAAATTGGTTTAAAACACTGGAAATTTCATACAAACTCGCCTTAACAATAACTTTTTACAGTGTGAACCTGTGTAAACCTATTTTATTTTTTTATTGTACAGCTTTTTGTTTGTTTATGTTTTTGATGGTTTAGACTACTATATACTAGTAGTAAGATTTAGTTTGGCTTATGTAGCTTATCTAATAAAACTGAGCGTGTATGGATCTTAACTTGATAAAAAAAGTTATTCTTTCACCATTGTAGTCACACCAATTTTCACTCATTATAACTAGGAAGCTTATTCGCATAGAACGCCTGAAAATATTTTTTATAAACTACTTTCTCTTGAAAACTTGTGAGTAAAGTCTATTAAAGCTAAGCTGCCTGCGGTCGCTGAGACAGACAGTTAATTTCATTCATATTTACCGTTATATAGTTATAATAAATAGCCTCAAAGGCAGTTTTCAAAATGTTTTCTATAACCCAAGAAGTTTATTATATAATATATTAAAATTCTTGTTAGAACCTAATAGTTATTTAAAGATATATTTTAAAATAATTTTATGTTACTTAATAAGTTTGCTGATTAATTTCTACTTTAGAGTTTATTTTGCCGCCTTAGCTTAGTCTGTAAAATGAGCATTTTTAAAATTTCCTCTTCAGATTGGTCACTCCACGGTAAGTGACACCATATACGGATAAAAAAGTAATAAAAAAGCTACAACATGTATTTAGAATAACAGTCCATAATCTTAAATTAACGAAACAGCCTCTTTTTTAACGAAATACTGCAATTTTACTGTTTTTTTTTTTTCATTCAATGGTAACACCAGATGTAGTCAAGATCAAAATGCTTGTTTATATTAAAATGTGTGTTGTGAGTAACAAATAGTTGAAAATTGAGCGATGGCATGAATTTTAAGGTAGCTATGGGCCATAGAGCTTTGCGATGCTTGATGTTTCTTTGAATGATCTTATTAGGAATGAAGAGATCTGTAGGAGAACCAACGATACTGATATTGCTCGAAAAATTACTCAGCTTAAGTGGTAGTGGGCGGGACACAACTAGAAGAACTAATGGCCGTTGGTGCGGAAAGTTTTTAGAATGACGACCACGCTCCCAGTGGCATAGAGTGGGTGTCTGCCGCCCGGGGCGGAAGATAATTGTGCCGCCCCTCTTAATTTTAAATTATATACATCAATTTTATAGAATTTTTCAACAAGAACTATCATCATTATATTGCATTATACAGGTTGGATTAAGTGTGGTTTAGTTGTCGCCATGCAACTGCCCACGGATCGAGTGTTGTGCTTCGATCCCCACATAGAACAATTTTTCGTGTGATTTACAAATAAATGTTCTTAGTCTGAGTGTACTTTATCCCTCGCAACACAGGACTTGTATCCTAAAAAGCGGGTTTGTATTTTAAATAAAAAAAAATAATGAACTAAACATCTAAAAATCAATCCATAAACAATCAAATAAAATACGAGGAATTTCCGTAAGTCAGTATAGATGGTGTTGCCATTCGCTATAAAATATAATTTAAAGAAAGAGTATTCTCCGAATATGTAATGAAAAATTCCGTTCAAATATTTAAAAAATATATTTTATTGTGTACTGTTCAATATGTTTGAGTACATTAAAAAAAGATTTAAAATGTCCCGACTGTCACCATGGAATGACCCAGGTGACATTCCTAATGTCAAGATAAAGTTGAAACAAAATTTCATTGATATAGTTTGCCTCTTAATATGCTATTTTTCTTTCTTATCGAGAAACAAACGTAATTTTTTCCCTCTTTTTCTTGTGAATAACGGTACGGAACCTTAAGTGCGTGAGGCTAACTGGCACTAGTCGGGTTTTTTGTAAAAAATGACAATTAAAAGGTTTCGAGAAACCTAGCCCATTCAAAATTTTATCTAAATTCCTACCAATCAATAGTACTTTTAATTTATAAATATCTCTTTTTTTTCTATATACATTCAATTTGTATTATCTATAGCAATGTTATCAGATAGCTCAGAGCTTTTTTTATTGTTTTATCTATTTCCCCAAAATTCAAAATTGACATATTTTATTATTGTTTCTTTACGTGTAAAGACCACAAACGTGACATTGGCAGAATTGTGTAAATGCAAATAGGCCATGGATTAAAAAGGAAAAAGAAGAAGTATGTAATATAAACAACTAATTCAACACAAACTCAAATAGAACTATTTATTAATAATAAACATAATTTATCCAAACAACAATCATAGCATAATATTAATCAGCAATTACAAAAATATATATTTAAGCTTTAATATCTAAATATACGCTTCCCAACCGTCTCTTATGATGCTCAATATGCGAGGATCTGTGCATTGTCGTAATAAACAGCTCACCTGTACAAAAAAAAGAAACTTTTTTTATTTTGTACTAATGTTTTAATTTCTTCAATGAGGAAAATCGTTAATTTCTCATCGATTGTGACAAAGCAATTAAGTCGAAATGAACTAATTTATTACAAGCGCAGTAAAAACACGTATGTCTTAAATTTTCTCTCTATAAATTTAATCGTAATCTTTTTTAACCGACTTAAAATGGAGATAAGTGAAAATTTATATTCAAGGAATCAAATCACTAACTACAGGAAGACTGGAAATTCAGTATTTATATTTAAAATGTATTTATTATCGTTAAGAACATACCACTTACAATTATATGGTAGGCAAGGGGTGTGCGAGCGAGAGGACACGACACAGCCCTTATCTTAAAAAATACTCATTTCAAAAATGCCTTGCACAACATATCCCTTTCAGTTTAGCATTTTCAAATTCCAAAATTGTCTAATCTAGTATCATAATGGGTTAGTTCAGTGATTCCCTAATTGGTCCAGGTGGACCCCCAGGGGTCTGCGAGGGATTCAGCGGGGGTCTACGTACTCACCCGTAACGCCAATTTCCATCGCTAGATCTTCATATTCAGGACGAATTTTGGGAATATGGTAAAAATGTAGCAGCAGCGGTCCACCGAAACCAGTGTGTATTTCATAATTTTTTTTTGCGAAATTAATAAGTTACGACGATGCATTGAGTTGAAATATCGTATAACCTCACACCTGTGTACCGTTGCTGCATAGTTGTGACGTAGCGAACTTTAATGCCTATTATCTAAGCCATTTCTTGTTAAATTCAAGCAAAAAAATACATAGGTATCTAACATTAATCTATTATTTGACTAACGGATTAATAAGACCCAGACATCATCCTTATTGGGACTTTGAAACCGCTGGACATTTTGAGAATTGGAAATGTTGAAACCGTTGGGCATTTTAGGAATTGAACATTTTGGAACCGTTGGAAATTTTGGGAATTGGACGTCTTGAAACCGTTGGACATTTTGGGATTTGGACATTCTGAACCGAATGGCATG